TAAAATTTAGCCCAAATTTACTTAGATTCGTCCAAATTTTGATGGATTGGGCATAAGATATGCTACTGTAGGAGAACAATGGACATTATAACAATATGGGGTTGTTTGGTTTGAATACAAGTCATACTGGGATAAGTTATAGTGAGATTAGTTATGCTGCGATTAGTTATCTGACATTATTTCTTAATTGATTTTTTGGTTTGTTCTACTGAAAATAATAACCATGCATCCTTTATAAAAATAAGTGGTTTGTAGGGCTGGCAAGGGGACGGGGACGGGGACGGGGACGAGGACTATGGGACGGGACGGGACGGGGGACGCCTTGGCTGGGATTCGGCATGGACGGGGATTGGCGGGACAAAAATATGTCCCATCCCGTCCCACTATATATACGGGATGGGACGGGGTTTGGCGGGATGGGACGGGACGGGGGATTTTTATTTTTTTATATGTTCATTTATTTGTATTGAAATTATATGTTATTGAATAGCATTTGTAGTTTATTTGGTTTTCAATAACATTTTTAGCTAATAAAAAGTGCTTAAGTTTTCAAATTTCGAATTTCAAGTTTCAAGTTTCAAATTTCAAATTTGAAAAGTTCAAATTTGTATTTTAAATATTTTAAATTAATTTAAACTTGAAATTTCAAATGTCAAATTTTAAATATTTAAATTAAAGTATTTTAAAGTTAGTTTAGTATATATGTAAATATGTATGTATATATTAAAATTAAAATGCAAGACAATAGTTGTATAAAAAAGACTTCAATAAAGCCTTCAAATTTATTCAATAAAATCTAATTGCAACTTAGAACTTAGAAGTTCCAATTTACAAATATTAGAGGAGTAACTAATTTACACAGCCACCTTCTAGGAAGGGTTCTGTTTCAATTAGTTCTTGGATGTAATCTAATATTTGTATTCTCCTTTATAAATCAATTCTAATTGTCATATCATATCGACGGTAACATCCTCCGGTATTGGCAAACTTGCTAGAAACTCTTGTGACTCTAATTCATCGTCACTAGATCCAATTACCGCATTAATCCAAACTTCTTGTTTGGAACTTAACTTTGGCAAATTATAATTCCTCCTCTCGGCGTTGACCTAGTCTCTAAATAAAACTTATGTTTCCAAACTTTCTTCCGCCAATGAATGTCTATGATCGCCAAGTTGAAACCTTGCCGCACTAAAAGCAGCCTCCGATACAACTGATGAAGCTTGAATAACTACAACATCACGAACCATTTTGTTCGAAATTGGAAATGCAACGCTCCGCCTCCTCCACCATGCTAATATTTCTACATTGCCATCGTCGTCGTCCACTGTTTCTAAAGATTGATTAAGATATTCTTCAAAATCATCACGGTTAGTAGAATTAAGACCAAGAAAACCTCGCATAAAACTATTAATTCGATCTTTACTCTGAGGATTAGAAGTTTGACCAACTTTTCCTTGAGTATTTCCTATAGTTCTATATCTTTCAAACAAAAATTTTGCTTCTACTTTTATGCTAGACTTACACATTTCACAAGTTGGAATTTCTTCTGGTAAAATTTCTAAAGTATCATAAAAAGTTTCAACAAGTCCCTGCATACCTCGTAATTTATATTGAGGGTTAAGTAAAGTAGCAGTTAAATAAATTTGAGGAATAGGAAAAAATATTTTTAAAATTTTTCAATCATACCTTCAATTGCTACTCTAAATTTTTCAATTTTTTGGTATTTAGAAAATTGAATTGTAATAGCACAAATATTTATTAATACTGATGAAATAGTAGGATAATAAATTTCAGAAAACATGGTTGTAGCATCATAAAAAAGTCCTAAAAATTCTAATAGTTCATTAGTTTCTTCTCAATCTTCTTCACAAATTCTATCTAATGGGTTAGCATTATGAGCATTAAACACCATTTGTATGGGTCCTTTATATTCGTAAGCAACTGGAAGCATTTCGTAAAAAGAATTCCACCTTGTTTTAATATGTCTTGAAATTTTTCTTGGTGACAAATCACATAGTACACAATGCTCATTAAATTCCCTAATTCTAGCAGCTCTATGAGCATAAAAAATCCAGGCAACAACATATTCAATTTTCATACAACCACAATCAAATAATGAAATACCATCTTGTAGAAATAAATTTAATACATGTGCAACACATCTAACATAAAAAGCATTAACATCAATTGGACATAATCTAGTTTTTAACATACTAGCAGCGTTTGTATTATTAGATGCATTATCTAATGCGACAGACATTACTTTATCTATAAGCATGCAATAATCTAAAACCCTCAAAATATTTGAAATAAAATTGGGACGTGAAGAAAAACTATAAGACAAACCACAAACAGAAACCATTTTAGCTAAATTTCCGCGATCTCTTTCCTTATTATATTTACGTTGTGTTAGTGGACCACTGGGGTTAGAAGGATCTAATGTTCCTTGAACCATGTTAGAAGCCCTTACCGATTCATTAACATTAATATCAAAATCATTAACTGGAATTCTTTTTTTTCTATCGGCTAATGCTTTAGCTTCTTTATATTGAATCGGCACACAAGATAACAAATGTCTATTTAAGCCCCCCGTCCCACCTTGACCTCCACCTTGTTTATGTTTAAAAGGTTGTTTACACTTATTACAAATATCAATAGAGTTTTCCTTATCGAAAGTCATAAATTGCCACACAACATAAGTTTTAGGGCGTTGATACTTCACATTCTCCCTTGTAGGAGGATAAGGGGTGGGCGTCCACAATTTTGCTCCGTTGAATTTGTAGTTTCATTTGGAACATTTGTCACCGGACTAGTAGGTGTAGGTGTATCTTCTAATTCATCTTCTCCCGAACCAACTTCTACTTCTTCACCTGAATTTTCATCAAGATAAGGATTAATATCACCATAAATTTGATCTAAAATTTCATGATCGAGTTGAGCATTTGAATCAATATCATAAGAAGTATCATCAACATAAGTAGAATAATTTGTATTAAATCTAACTCTAGAAGTACCACCACATTTACTCTTATTTTTTTCCTTACTACTTTTTTTAGTAAAATTAAATAATCTACTAATGCCACTTGGTTCCTTCTCTTTTCCTTTACCGGTATCTTTTTTGTTAGAACTCATATTTAATTATATGTAAAGTATAATATAAAAATAATAATAACACAAAAATTAATGACGAAAAATAAAATATAAATATTATGAAACGAATGTACCAAACGTCTGCGTTAATAGCAGACGTTATAACCGATTCTTGAAGCTTGTAGTTTGTTGTAACTTGTAATTGGAACTCCAATACTTGATAGCAAATATGAGAATTATATATATTATGATATATAATATGAAAATTTAGAATTGAAACATATGTATTATGATATAATATGAGACTTCAATGGAATAAAAAATTAAGACTTAAGATTAAGAGGATATAGAAAATAGATGATTTTGTAAGAAATAATAAGGGATAGAGGGGTATTTATAATATTAAAAATGGGTTAAAGTGTATTTATGATAACTTGAGGGTTTAAATTAAAGTATTAAAAGTAGGGGGGTGGTAGGGGTGTTGGGGAAGTGAAAAAGGTGAATAAATCCGTTGGGTGGGGTGGGGTGGGGTGGGGGGGGACTAGCCGTTGCCCCAACGGATATAATCAAAAAATAAAAAAAATAAAAAATAGGGGATCCTGTGAAACCGGCCAGTTCAGCCAGGTCGGGATCGGGCTGGGTTGACCGGGACCAAAGGGTGAACTGGTCCCCTATCCCGAAGTCCCTCCAACCCGCGAAATCATACGGGACTGGGTCTGGCGAGACGGGTCTCGAGCCGGTCGCGGGCCAGGGCGGGCCGACCCGGTCCCCTTACCAGCCCTAGTGATTTGATTACAAAAATACCCTCTTATTTAGCTTTTTTGTGTATATTTGTTTTTATAGAGTTTTAGTTATTTATTCTTTAAAACAAAACGTCCATCTTATTTAGCTTAACTATTTTGTATGATAGGATTTAACACCATCACCCCCCACCCCCCAAAAAAAAACTCAAATTCAGCTTTGGGAAACATAAAAGCAGAAGAAAAAAAAATAGGATTCAACCCCTAAAAAATAAAAGAACAGAAAGAAGAGTTGCCTTACTATGCTTGTAAAACCAGTAGCCTATTTTACTTAAACATCTCCATTTTGAAGCCTCCAAACAAATCCAGCAAAATGTTGCTAATACTAAACCCAATAGTTCAGCTTTCGATGAAAGTTCATAATTAAAGGTTTTGAAGGATAATTTTGTCATTTAATAAGTTTATCCCATCATAATTTATGATGGGGTTATTATACCACCCCTTGGGAGGGATAACTTATTGCGGTACTATTTATTAATCTTGGGATAAGTTATCCCAAACTTTCCAACCAAACACTAAATTAAGTGCCACTAAATATTTATCCAAGACTATTTGTGTTTATCCTTCACACCAAACAACCCCTATATGTTATATTTATTTATGTAAAGATACAAGTAATGTTTGAGTGCATGTTGGACGTGACTGTGCTAAAAAATTATTTCAACAATGTGAAATGTTTTTTTCAAAACTAAGCAAGTTCCCTTCCCGTCTGGTATATATCATCGCAGGATAAATGAAGGGTAAATCAATGCATAATATGTGTCTAAATACTAGTATTAATTTGTTGTACTTTTTTGAAGTTTACGTATAATTTCGTGAAAGTATAGGTTCAAATGAATCTGAGCATGATATTCTTTATCCATCCCTGTCTTTTTGGGTAAGTGTTGAACCACTTTGTTACCTTTCCAGAAGCAATGTCAAAAACACTTATTTCCTCAAACTGATTTAAAATTTCCTGATCTCTATCAGACTTCATTTACATTTTTTGTATTGGATTTTTCTCTAAATTATGAAGATTGTTAATGTTTGTTTTCATTTCTTTTATGAAAGGTGAGAGAGCAATTAACTTCAGGGCAGTTAAATTGTAGTTTTCACAGCAAGCCAATTGACATGGATGTTGTTGAGACTTCCGTCCAACGTAGTCTTCCATCAATTGATGAGGAAGTTGTGGGGTTTAAAGAAGATGCAGAACATATAATGCACAAATTGACACGAGGAACAAAGGAGCTTGATGTTATATCAATTTTTGGAATGCCGGGTCTAGGCAAAACAACTTTGGTCATGAAAGTGTACAACAATCCCTCTATTGTTAATCACTTTGATGTTAAAGTATGGTGTTCTGTTTCACAAGCATATGATAGCCAGAAGTTGTTGGCTGAGATTTTTAAGCAAACAAGACGTGATAAGAGCGAAATCAATAAGGGTAATGACATAGCTGACAAGTTGCGCAAGAATTTAATAGGCTGGAGATACCTCATTGTATTAGATGATATTTGGGATGTCAAGGTGTGGGAAGATTTGGGTTTATGTTTCCCTAAGGGTGAAAATGGAAGCAGGGTAATGGTAACAACTCGAATTGAACAAGTGGCTAAGCATCTTCAGCACCATAGTAATCCTTATCCTCTTAGATTTCTAACACGGGATGAGAGTTGGGAATTATTGCTGAAAAAAGTATTTCGAGGAGAGACTTGTCCACCGAGTCTGTTGGGAGCAACACTACAAGTTGCCCAACATTGTAAGGGATTGCCTCTTGCCATTGTCCTAGTTGCTGGCCGAATTATTGGGGAAAAGGATAGGGAGGCTCCAGCTTGTGGCTGAAGGTTGCAAATGATTTAAGTTCTTATGTTTTAGGAGAGCAGAGCATGAAGGTGATACATTCAAGTTATGACCATTTAGAAGGTCACTTAAAGTCTTGCCTTCTTTACATGGCATTGTTTCCGGAAGACCATGAGATTCTAGTATCTAATTTGTTGAAGTTGTAGATGGCTGAAGAGTTTGTACTGAATGTCGACACAGAGAATATGGAGGAAGCATCTAGAATTTGCTTGAATGATCTGTTTAACAAAAGCTTAGTTATGGTCTCTAAGAAGAGTGCTAATGGTGACACAAAATACTGCATACTTCATGATGTAGTGCGTGAGTTCTGCTTGAGAAAACTCACACAAGACAAGTATATGCAGCTCGCAGTGCCATACAATCCATATCAACATTTGCATTCCATGGAATCACGGTTATGGATTTATATTCATGATGATCTTGTTGAACAATTAGATCATTCTGAATATCAATTGGATAAGATTCCAATGCTTGAGTCCACCAACAAAACATACTGTTTTGGTAAATGTCCTATGTCGTCTTTGGAGTTCATTGCTCATCCAAAGTTCAACACATGGAACCTATCAAATCCTTTACCTTTACTTGTAAAACTAAGACTTGTTCGGGTGTTGCATTTTCCGCTTGCAAAGCTTCCAAGTTCTTGGCCTAGTGCAGTACAATCTCTAACTCACTTGAGGTACCTTGAGATTTATGTCCAAGAATTTGATTTCAAGTGGATATCTCACCTGCTCGATCTTCAAACTCTAGTGGTTTGTTCATCTAATTCTCTAAGGACCTCGCTTGCAGCTATCTGGAAAATGACGAAGCTAAGGCACTTAGATATATACAACTTGTCTTTGATATGGGACGACAATGATCGGGCAACTTTTGAAGAATCTTCTACAACTATGCTAGAGAACTTGAAGACATTCCGCGCTCATGTTATACGCGTGGATGATAGGACCCCGAGGTTTTGGAGGAGGTTTCTGAATATTGAAGAACTCAGATGCTTCCACATTATCGATTTACCTAGTTGTTCTTTGTTTCCCTCAGTGGAAGTTCATACTCGGCTTCAATCTCTTAATCTGGTCATAAACCCTCAGGGATTCTGGGATTCAGTTGGTTGGGAGAGCAATTTTGTCTTCCCTTCAAATCCTAAGGAATTGTGCATTGGCGGCTGTTTCATAACAGAAGAAATGGTTTTAAATATTGCAAGATTGAAGAAGCTTGAGAGTCTGACATTAGAGGGAGGATTTCATTGGGAGGAAATAGATTACCATTGTTGGGACGTCACAAATGTGACGTTCCCTGCACTCAAATACTTGGCATTACACTTTATGAGGATGGAAGAATGGAAAGCTTCAGAGGAATCCTTTCCCGTGCTTGAGAAGTTAGTTATAAGAGAATGTCTCTACTTCAAGGAGATCCCTACTAGCTTTGCCGATATTCCAACACTGCGACTTATTGAACTGTTTGAGTGCACTGATTCACTTGTGGTTTCAGCTGTGAACATCAAAAATGAAATAGAAGAAAACACTGGATGTGATAGTCTCCGGGTAAGAAAGTTGTATGGAGACGGATCTCTAAAGAAAAAAGAAAAGGATGCCACGGGGTTTTTAATAAAGAGAAGAGAAAAGGATTTTTCCAATTGAAGTGATGTATTGATAAGGGATTGTTTTATGGAAAAACTATGTAATTACATATATATTTCTATCGTATCTACTTATTCTTCCTAGTTTGAAATCACGTGTCTATAGTTTAGATAGCCATTCCAAAAGTCGATTTTTTATTTTTGGAAGTGTTTGACAAATATAAAAATAACTTAGAATAATTCAAGAATGACTTAAAATAAGTTAAAGACAATTAAAATTAACTGAAAATAAGTTTAAAATGACTTTAAAGAGTTGAAAAATCAAAAGTCAGCCCCTCCCTCCTTTTTTTTTTTTTAGGGAAAATGCATAAGTACCCTCAGCCTATGCCAAAAATCCCTGAAACACACCTAACCTTTACTAAGGTCCTATTACCCCCGAACTTATTTTATATATAATTTTCTACCCCTTTTCGACCTACGTGGCACTATCTTGTGTCCCCCCGAACTTACTATTGTTGATGACCACACTAGATACACTTGGGTCTATCTGTTATAAATGAAAAGTGAGGTAATCACTGTATTGAAGTCTTTTTTGTGCCTAATAAAAACTCAGTTTAATGCTGTTTTGAAGACTATTAGATCAGACAATGGCACTGAATTTTTTAACCAACAGTGTTCTGCCCTTTTTGATGCTTATGGTATTGTTCATCAAAGTAGATGTGTTTACACTCCCCAACAAAATGGCATTGTTGAGAGGAAACATAGACATATTTTGAATATGGCCAGGGCACTCAAATTTCAGGCCAACATTCCTGCTAGATATTGGGTGAATGTATTCATAGTGTTGTGCATCTCTTAAACATGCTTCCCTCTGATGTACTGCTGCGCAGGGTCACTCTCCTTATGCATTGTTTTATCATAAAGTCCCTTCCCTCACACATTTGAGAGTTTTTGGTTGTCTTGGTTATGCCACCAACTTGGTGAAGTCTGATAAATTTGGTGCTAGGGCCAAACCTGCCATCTTGTTGGGGTATTCTTCTACTCAAAAGGGCTATAAGTTGCTTGATTGTGCGACTGTGCAGTTTTTTGTGAGTAGGGATGTCATTTTTAAGGAACATTTGTTTCCTTTTACTTTTTTTTCTGGCAGCCCCTTGGTATATTCACCATCTCATGATAGGGAGGATAATATTTCACCACTGACAGATCATGAGATAATAGATCATAATCATGAAAGTATTGCGCAAAATGATGTTGGTGCTGAAGGTTGTGTGGAGTATGCAGCTACACATGAAGATGAAAATCATGATAGTAATGTGAGAAATGGTACTGGTGCTGAAGATTGTGTAGAACATGAAGATATACATGGAGATCAAAATGTGAGAAATGAAAGTGCTGAATATGAGGATGTTGAACCTCATCATGACGACACACAAACAACTCCAAGAAGATCTGGAAGGATCCCTAAACCACCATTGTGGCATGAAGACTATGTAACTTCAAAAGGAAAGTGCACATCATTATATCCTATATCCAACTATGTGTCCTATCACAAGTTATCTACAAAATGCAGAAGAATATTGGCCAATTTTTCAGAAACAGTTGAACCACATAGCTTTCAAGAAGCATCCAAGGATAGCAAGTAGGTGGAGGCAATGAAACAAGAAGTCAAAGCATTAGAAGACAACAAGACATGGAATATAGTTGACCTTCCAAAAGGTAAACATGCCATTGGGTCTAAATGGGTATACAAGATAAAATACCAAGCAAATGGTAAGATAGAGAGTTACAAAGCCAGACTAGTGGCAAAAGGATATAGTCAAAAGGAGGGACTTTACTATCATGAGACCTCTTCTCCTATAACTAAAATGGTTACAGTTAGGTCCATTATAGCACTGGCAGCATCTAGGGGGTGGAGTATATGTCAAATGGATGTGTATAATGCCTTCTTGCAAGGAGATTTAGATGAAGAAATCTATATGGCACTCCCACAGGGCTTTGAGAGACAGGGGAGAAAAAGGTATGCAAGCTGAACAAGTCTCTATATGGGCTGAAACAAGCTTCAAGGCAGTGGAACATCAAGTTGACAGAAGCTCTAATAAATGCAGGATATTGCCAAAGTAAATATGATCACTCTATGTTCACTAAAAGGATGGGCAGTGACATAGTAATTCTACTGGTTTATGTAGATGACATGATGATCACAGGTAGTAGTGAAGCTGTCATACATGAAACTAATGAGGTTCTACACAGAAGGTTCAAAGTCAAAGACCTGGGAGAACTGAAATTTTTCCTTGGGATAGAGATTTTGAGGTCCAAGCAAGGGATCATGCTAAACCAAAGGAAATATGCTCTTGAAATTATATCAAAGTTGGGATTAGGAGGTTCAAAACCAGTAAATACCCCCATAGATGTGAACCAGAAATTCACTTCAGTAGAGCATGATAAATGCACTGGAAGTAAGGGTGATGAATTGTTGACAAATATAACAGAATATCAAAGATTAATTGGAAAGCTATTGTATTTGACTATAACCAGGCCAGATATAAGCTTTGTTGTACAAACTCTTAGCCAATATATGCAAACACCAAAAAAGTCACATTGGGATACAACCTTAAGAGTGGTCAAGTACATATAACAAGAACCAGGTTTAGGGATCTTGTTGAGCAGTGATGCAGATGATTCATTGAGTTGCTTTTGTGATGCTGACTGGGCTGCATGTCCAAATACCAGAAGGTCAATCACATGCTTCTTTATTAAGTTTGGACAGTCTTTAATATCCTGAAAATCAAAGAAGCAGCATACTGTTTCCAGAAGTTCTGCAGAAGCAGAATATAGAAGCTTAGCTACTGCAACTTCTGAAGTGGTTTGGTTATTGGGATTGTTTGATGAATTGGGAGTTAAAGTAAAGAAACCAGTCAGTGTGTATTGTGATAGTAAGGCTGCTTTGCAGATTGCAGCTAATCCCATCTTTCATGAACGGACCAAACATATAGATATAGATTGTCATTTTGTGAGGGACAAGATTAAAGAAGGGAAGATACAAACTCATCACATTGGAACCAAAGATCAAGAGGCAGATGTACTAACAAAGGGACTTGGCAGAAGTCAACATGATATCTGATACACAAGCTAGGAATGCTTTATTTGTTACAGCATCCAGCTTGAGGGGGAGTATTGGAATTAGTTAGTTAACTGATGAGGTAGTTAGCTAGTAGTGTTAGTTAGATGATAAAATTTTGTTAGGATGATCTGTAACTAACAAAATGATGAGCTAGATATAATTGTATAGGAACTCTAATATAAATACTAAGCTTGTATTGATTCACAATTTTTACACTGAATGAAACAATTTGATTTCCTTTCTTCTCTCTGAGTTACTTGAAAGATTTCTGCCATTGATGTGGCTCAGATT